TCCCCTCTAATACCATTAGCTCACAAACATCCCCCTCCCCCCACCTCTAATATCATCAATTCACAGACACTTACCTTCCTTCCTTCCCCCCCCCCCGCATCCCCCCCCCGTTTTTGAAAGAGATTTTTCCTTTTTTTATTTGTTCATTTTTTTTAATTGTATCCTTTGGTATATATGGTTGTGACTATTTTCTTCCACTATTTGATCTGAGGAAGTGGGTCTGGCCCACGAAAGCTCATCATCTAATAAACCATCTTGTTAGTTTTTAAAGTGCTACATAGTCCTGTATTTTGACTCAGTAAGCAGTTTCTAATCATCTGTCAAGAAAGAGAGAGTCTGAGGGCTAGGAGGGTATTTTTCCCCATAAAAGCAATTAGATAAATGCATATGCAAATGAGACCAAGCACCAGGCTCCTGGGTGGCCCTGACTGTGTCATCATTTGGATAGCCTCGGGAGCAAGAATCTAGTGGATGTGTTTAGGCAGGCAGCTTTTACCAGGCCAGCCTACAGAGGGATTTCATCACAGAAACAGATCAATTAACCCCATCTAATGCCACTGACTGTGATTTCCACAGGAATGCTAGGGAGACTCTTTCTGAACCAACCAGGCCCTGGGGGGCTCTGTTACCGCAGAGACAGTGGGCTCAGCTACACTGCAGGACTAAACTTGAAATAAGCTGCACAACCTGAGCTACACTCATTGCCTAGCTTAAGTCGAAATAGCTTATTTCCACTTTTGGTGCTGTCTACACAGCAGGAAGTCCAAGGTAGAGCACTTTTCTATCAACTTCCCTTGCTCCTCATACAACGAGGGTTACAGGAGGAGGAGTAAGAAGTCCCCATTTCAACATTGTGTGGAAATAACTGCTTGCTGTGTAGACGCGGACTATGTTATTCAGTACGCTATTCCGAAATAACACTGCTGGGTAGCCAGTGTGGCCTAGACTACTGATACTTTGAATACCATTCACCAGGTGACCTTGGGAAATCCCTTACCTGCTCTGTGCCTCAGTTTCCCCATCCACAAACTAGAGATGAGAATGCCCCCCACTTCCTTGCGGGGGATGTGAGGAGGCTTAACACACTGCTGTTTGTAAAGTGCATTGAATGTAAAGGACTATATACGTGCTGAGCATTTCCTTTGCCACAGCTGTCCCAAGGACAATTCAGGGCCACTGCCAACATCAAACAAGGGTGGCATGGAAGTCTCGCTTCCCACAGAACACTTCTTGGGATGGACACACACATGCCAATTAATTGGTTCTTTCTCTCTCTCCTGCATCCCCCTGGTGTTCATTAGCTTAAATTTGCTTTAATAACACGGATGCTTCTCCCCCCACCAAGCAACCGTAACAACAGAAGGTTGAGACAAGATTTCATGTTGGGGGAAGGGAATGAAACCAGATAGTTCTATGCCTACACCAACCGTTGATTAAAAAACAAATATAGCCCAGATTGGAGCAGGAGACTGAAGCCTTAGCAGGCACATGGAGTGAAACGGGGCTTTCTCTGCTTTTTTTGCAAGGTTTGTAAATGCCCTCTAGTTACCCCAAGAGGAAATGTTTGCTGATAAGGAAGAAAAGTGGCCAAGTCACTCCTTCTACACCAATATCAGGCAGTGGTGATATCCTGCCTGATCTTGGCCCCAGGGCCAATGGAGGGGACTCAGCATTTCACAGATTCAGGCCAGCCTCAATGTGGCAGTGTCTACACTGGCATGAATTTCCGGAACAGCTTAAAACGGAATACTATTCCGTTTTCAGTTTTTCCGGAAAAGGAGCGTCTACATTGGCAGGCTGCTTTTCCGGAAAAGAGCCCCAATCGCCATTTTCGCGATCGGGGCTTTTTTCCGGAATAGACTACTGGGCTGTCTACACTGGCCCTTTTCCGGAACAGTGTTCCGGAATAAGGACTTATGCCCGAGCGGGAGCAGAATAGTTTTCCCGGAATAGCAGCTGATTTTGTACAGTAGATCGTTGTTGCTTTTCCGGAAAAGCAAGCGGCCAGTGTAGACAGCTCGCAGCTTATTCCGGAAAAGCGGCTGGTTTTCCGGAATAAGTTATAAAGCCCCAGTGTGAGAACAGACTTGATGTGGCGGTCAGGGGAGGGGGTGGATGGCTAGGAGAATTAGGCTGAACTGAGGAAAAGGAAAATATACACTGAAAATCAGGAGACCGCATGTTCTATTGGAATCAGTGGTCTGTCAGTCTGTGGGATGGCCTCCTGTTGGAAGTGACGTAATCCCCTCTCACTTGAGATAATAGACACAACTACACTGAACCAGACCGTGGTGCACAGTCCTGCTCTGGCAGGGGATGAACTAGACCAGAGTTTCTCAACCTTTTTGATACCCAGGCCCAGCTTGCTGCCTTCCCAAACTGCATCAGGGAGATCCTGGGAACTAGCAACAGGCCACAGCAGGGTTCCCTGTAAGCTGTGCACTCATGCAGCCACTCAGGAGAGATTCAAAGCTGCCTAGCAGATTAGCAGAGCGCCCACAGCAAAGTTATTTTATTTCTACTGGTAGTACACATTCACACATGCCTCGGTGTACCTAAAATTTATTCCACACCTGGATGGAAAAAATCCACATGTGGATGGAAAAGATTAGCGGGAACATTGGTCCAAGGACCAGTCATTGAGCAGCACTGGAGTAGTTTCAGTTCTTTGGCAGAATAAAAACTGCAAATGTAACATTCCTCAGAGGTACAGGACAGAGTCACGGAAGGGGAAGGAGACAG